TAAAAAAAAAAAAAAGTTGTTATTCTATTTTTTTTTTTTTCTGTCATCAACTGACATATATAGAATCATTTTAGGTAAGTACATAAAGCAGTTAAAATTGGATTTAATATAGAGATTAAGTTATTTTAATAAATAAATATTAAAAAAAAAATAAAATTGGAGGCTTGGGATAAGTAACGAGGAATGAAAGAGATTTATTATGTTAGCTATTTATATTTATTTATTTAGTAAATAAATAATTAAATGTTTTTAAAGTGAGAAGACTATATTAAAATTAAGTGATAAAATAGAAATTATATTAAAAAATAGAGATTATTCATTAAAATTTATTTAAAAGGGATATTACTAAATTACAACGCATGTTTGTTTGTTTTTTTCTTTTTTTTTTCGGGAGGGGATAATATAATACTTTTCTTTACTTGGAGCCAAAGGGACTGCGGCTTCGTGAATAAGTGACTTGGAGAGACGGCGTCGTATCGGCTGCGAGAACGCCTCTTGGTTTACATGTTGAAAATAAGGAATTGTCTCTGCTCGTAAGTCATCCAGGCATCCTCGTCGGAGTTCTGAAGTTGGAAGAGAACTCCGAGAGGTTGCGGCGATGGCGTCTTTAACTGCAAGGAAAAGGCCCAAAGATGCGGCCACTAGTGCCGATCAAATGAGCAGGAGAATTTTGCTTTACTCCATTTTGCTCGCTCTACAGTACGGAGCTCAACCACTGATCTCTAAGCGATTTACGAGGTACTCTATCATTTTTCTGTCCTTTCAATCTTTGTGTTTTTTTGAGTTAATATTAGCTGTAGTGAAGATTGCAGGACAAAAAATTATCTAGGTTTTGCACTCTCTCAATTTTAAGCATTTCCATGGTAACATTTCACATCTGGACTTGTTTTCATGAAACGATATTGCCTTTCATTTTCACTGTGGTATACATGGATTGGATTGAATGTTGCCTCGTAATGCCACAACCTTCAATTCTATGAAACCACTTGTTGTGTATAATGCCACCATTAAAAAGGCTAGGATGCCCATTGTTGTGTCGTAATGCCACAACCTTCATGCTATGATACTACTTGCTGTACCCAAGTGGCACAACCAAAAAAAATTTTGATACCCAATTGTTGTAGCTGAAGCGGAAGCAAGATCGAGTGCACTCACACACCCACAAACAGAAATTAAATAAAGAGACAAAGATTTACGTAGTTCGGAGAGAAGAAATTTCCTTACCTCCACGAGTGGTAGACAATCATTATAACCAAAGTGTTTACAAGCATATCTCTCACACTCTCGCACTCTAAAGTCTTTAAACAAAGTTCCTCCCAATTGTCTCAAAGCAAATACAAAATGGCAATGACTACATATCTAACCCAAATGCCACTGGACAAATATAAAATGACAATGACTTCACACCTCAAAACAATGCTAGACAAGCCTTTATATAGGCATAACTATACTAATTCTCATACATGAACCAAATAAATGAGAACATGAAACAAAATGGTTATGAACTAAATGAGAGTTAATAACCAAAATAAATGAGAATATGAACCATCAAGGGTTATGAACTAAATGAGAGTTATCACATCTTCATGACAATTTACTACTTTGAAATTATGTTCGGATTTTTTTTGTCCAATGGCAACTCCTTTCTGGTATGTGCACGATGTTAACTCATATGATTCTCCCTGCAGACGAGAAGTTATTGTGACTTCATCTGTCTTAACTTGTGAGATAGTAAAGGTATTACTGTATAGCATATATTTTCCATTTCTTTAATTTTATTATTGACTATTTTCTGGTAAAAGGTCTACTTTTTGCACTAATTCTCAAAGATTTTTGTTTATTTTGCAGGTCATATGTGCCCTGATTATCATGACAAAAGAAGGTAGTTTAAAGAAAACTTTCAGTGAGTGGACTGTCGCTGGTGCATTGACTGCTTCAGGACTTCCTGCAATTATTTATGCATTACAAAATAGTCTTCTGCAGATAGCTTACAAGAATCTTGATTCTCTGACATTCTCAATGCTGAATCAAACAAAAATACTCTTCACTGCTGTATGTACTTATTTGTTGCTCAGGTATGTTCCAATGCTTCTTCTGTCTTTTCAAAATCATAATAGAACTCATGTTTCTAATTATCCTAGTTGAAGATTTATGTAATTGTTCAATTGACATGATGAATTGCTGTGCTGTGCTATGAATTACTTCTTTGTTATCTGTAACTTTTTTGTGTATTACAATGTGCAAATGGTTGTATATCTTTCCACTTTGTTCATTTATAGTCTGTCTCTATCATTCTTGTCGTAGAGAGGACCAAGACCTATACTTTCGCTTCTTTAATTGACATGCAAAAGCTCTAGCCATTTTTCCTTTTCCCCTCGGGGGTATCTAGAACAACAATATGCTCCACAGATTTGGGTTGGGATGAAATGTGTAACAGTCCAAGCCCACCGCTAACAAATGTTATTCGCTTTATCCCGTTACGTATCTCCGTCAGCCTCATGGTTTTAAAACGCGTCTACTAGGGAGAGATTCCACACCCTTATAAGAAATGTTTCATTCCCCTCTCCAACCAATTTGGGATCTCACAATCCAGCTCCCTTAGGAGCCCGACATCCTTCTTGACACATCGCTCAGTGCTTGGCTTAGATACCATTTTTAACAGCCCAACTCCACCACTAGCAAATATTGTCCGCTTTGGCCCACTACGTATTACCGCCTGCCTCGTGATTTTAAAACGCGTCTACTAGGGAGAGGTTTCACACCCTTCTAATAAATGATTCATTCCCCTCCCCAACCGATGTGGGATCTCACAAAATGACAGTGGTCAATTATTTAGAATTGTTTAGATGGCAATGTGTACCGACATTTTCTGATCATCATCTGTTACTTGGGTACATTGCATCTAGCGATGATTTGTACTAATTTCTGATTAAAGCATAAGATCTAAAACAATTTCGTACAACTTACATGGCCTGGTATGTGGATTTCATGAATAGGCAGAGGCAGTCCATTCAGCAAATTGGGGCTCTATTCTTGTTGATTGTTGCTGCCGTTCTTCTAAGTATAGGTGAAGGATCTAGTAAGGGTTCCAGAGATGATGGCAGTCCCGATCAAATTTTGTTTCATGGGATTATTCCTGTCTTGGCTGCTTCTGTACTCTCTGGTCTGGCTTCTGCATTGTGTCAATGGGCTTCACAGGTTTGTAGAGATTCTTTTAGTTTATTTAGATACCAACCTCCAAGAAACAATCTAAGAATTATGTGTTTGCTCCTTTCTGATGAAGAACATTCCATTTACAGGTTAAGAAACACTCATCATACTTGATGACTGTAGAAATGTCTATAGTTGGAAGTCTGTTTCTATTTGCTAGTACATATAAATCTCCTGATGGAGAAGCCATCCGACATCATGGTTTTTTCTACGGTTGGACTCTTCTCACTATGGTAATTATATATCACTTGTCATATACGAGGGTGTCTCTAAGTTGGAGACAATTCTTTCAGCAAAAAGTCCTATAACTCTCTCTTCCATGCCCTTTTCTTTTGGAAGGGAGGATATGAATTGCTTGCAGTAGCTGGAGACATCCATTTTCGTTGTTAGTAAATGTATTCTACTTATTTGGTCATTTTGTTTCAGATTCCAGTCTTACTCAATGCTCTTGGTGGAATTCTTGTTGGTCTAGTCACAAGCAGGGCCGGTGGTGTTCGAAAGGCAAGTTTTATGTTTGTCGTTTTAACCCGTAAGATTAGCTTGTTCTTGAACATAATCTTCAAGGATATCAACCATGAGCTTGCTCTAAATTCATGTTGCTCATGTCTTTTCACTCAATATAATGTTAACCAGCAGCATGAACATTTTTTTTCCTTCTTGGTCGAGGTATATTGAGCTATTGTGAGATCCCACATCGGTTGGAGAGGGGAACAAAGTATTCCTTATAAGGGTGTGGAAACTTCTTCTTAGCATACGTGTTTTAAAACTGTGAGGTTGAACGGCGATACGTAACGGGTTAAAGCAGAGAATATCTGCTAGCGGTGGGTTTGGGCTGCTACAAATGGTATTAGAGCCAGACATCGGGCAGTGTGTTGGCGGGGATGCTAGGCCCCCAAAGGGGGTGTATTTTGAGATCTCACATCGGTTGGAGAGGGGAACGAAGCATTCCTTATAAGGGTGTGGAAACCTCTCTCCAGCAGACGCGTTTTAAAACTGTGAAGTTGACAGCGATACGTAAAGGCTCAAAGCGGACGATATCTGCTAACGGTGGGCTTGAACTGTTAGTGAGAGTTATAAACTTGCATAATACTGCTACGAACAAAGAAAAGTCCCATTTTTTTTTTTCTTACTTGGCACGGTGATATACTGCTCGTATAATTTTTACGTACACTCATCGTGGGAAAATTCGTTATATGGTTGCAGGGTTTTGTCATAGTTTCAGCACTCATTGTGACGGCATTGCTGCAGTTCATATTTGAAGGGAAACCACCATCGGTTTATTGTATCGTGGCTCTTCCCCTCGTGGTCAGTAGTATTTCTATGTATCAAAAGTATCCCTACCGGGTTAAAGAGAAGGAATTATAGAAACTGGGAGAGTTATTTACCTGCGCACGAGATTTTTTAGTTCATCACTTTGATGGAATTGAAGCTGCAGGAATAACTTTATATTTATAGGTTAGCAATATGATTGATAAATTGTTAACTAATAAGGCCATGGTATCTGGATTTTCAATGAGCTGAAATTATTATGTATATGAACACTTCATTCTTCAGCAGTCCGCATGAGAATTGGAGAAACATTGTTATTTTAATTTTTCTAACATATCTTACATTTTATACTATAAAGTAAAATATTCATGTAATTTGGAAACAGAAATGTAGATTTTTTTTTTTTAAAAAAATAGCTAATAATATATCTTGTATTTATTTATTTTATTAGGTTAAATTATAAATTTATTGGATTAATTTTATGGTTTTAAAAGTAATAATTTTATTAGTATATTTGATTAAATTTCCTAAATAGTTATTGATGGGAAAGAGCGTGGTAATTGCCTACCATTCTAGACTTACTCTTAAGATTTTAAAATAGTCCAGTCTGACTCGTTTCCCTCTTCCATCGAAGTGGGTTTTCACACTCTATGATATTGTAACAGCACAAGCTCATTGGGCTTTTTCTTTCAGCTTCCCCTCAAGGTTTTAAAATAGTCTAACCTTGACTCGTTTCCCTCTCTTCAACCGATGAGGGATCTCACAACCCACCCCTTTGGGGGCTAACGTCATCACCGACACATTGTCCAATGCTTGGCTTCCACCCTTATAATGGATGTTTCGTCTCACAATCCCACCCCCTTGAGGCCTAGTGTCATTGTTGGCACACCACTCCGTAATTGACTCTGATACCATTTGTAACACTCCAAGTGCATCGTTAGTCGATATTGTCCTCTTAAACTTATCCTTCCGAATTTTCTCTAAATGGTTCGTTCTCTTTCCTGCCATCTTTTGGGACAAATTGTTTGTAATTTAACCATTTTATGAAACGAATGAATTTTTGGAGAAAAAGAAACGGAAAGGTTGTAGCGTTTGAGAATTGATTGGAGGGGGAAAGAAAAGCCGAAAGTAAAGGATGAGGGTGCGATCAAGTTTGGCGCGTCCACGCAGAGCAAGGCCCAAGGGAGGATAAAAGCGTAAGGTGGTTGAAGTTTTAAGCATTTGACTTCGGCGTCTTCGTCATCGTTGGCGGTTTCTCCTGCGTGCAGGTGCAGGTGGAGAGAAACGAACTTTTAAAAACCTCTGACCCATACCCCTTCCCCATTTTCCTTTTCGATCGATCTATCTATCTATCTTCTCGCGCCACCTTCCTTTGGATCTTCTTCGCTACGCTAATATTCCCTTCATGGCCACGGTTTCTCCTCTCGCCAAGTACAAGCTCGTCTTCCTCGGCGATCAATCCGTTGGCAAAACTAGCATTATCACCCGCTTCATGTACGACAAGTTTGATACCACCTATCAGGTCCGTGTTCTCGTTGCCTTGCGTCTTCTGTTCTTCATATTTTAATCATTTCTTTTTCTCCAATATTTTCATTTGGAAGTCTTGATACAATACGACCTTGTTTTTTGGTGCGTCTCTGTTGTGTTATGTATCTCAATCCGATGGAAATTTCGTAGGATTCATGTGGATCTGAGTTATGTGGCGTTGTTTCGAATGCGTACTCAATGTTGTTTATGCATTCCATCCACTGATGACTCGCTTTTCTTACCGGTTATTAATCTTTTTACAATCGATCAGATTTATCGATTGATTTAGATTACTTTTAAGATTCAGCCACATCCTTTCTTCGTCAATGGAGAAGTTCCATAATTTCTGTATAAAAAAAGATACGTATAACAGGGGAAGAGGAGGGGAAATTACTTTTAAGAGGGTTGACTTTATGCACTATCAGATCATCTAGCGTTCGTTAAATTCAAGGGAAGGAGCGGAGCAAATGGTTCATGCTTTAATAAGAAAATGTATTTCAGGGCTAAGTAGATTGGAACTAGAATCTGTCAAACCATAATTATGCGTCGTCTGTACATTTAATCCATACTCTGCTCGTGGGCCTCCTTTCTGCATGCTGACATAACTTATAATGCAGGCTACAATTGGAATCGACTTTTTGTCCAAAACAATGTACCTTGAAGACCGAACAATTCGGTTGCAGCTTTGGTATGCCTTGCTTATTTCTCTCTGGTCATGTAGTCAAGATTTTATTTCCTATCAGTCTTGGTTTCGGCATTCAGGCTCTTAAGTTAAAATTCTAGTTCTTTTCAATATGATGTAGATTTCAGATTCTTTGCCATTCAATATAAACATCCATTGAAATAGATCATAGAATTGTGCGAAACACAGATGGGACACCCAAAACATTAATTTTTTATGCCTGGTTTGGAGAAAGCTAAGCATAATTATAGAACACGACGTTTATTGCATTAAATTTCTAAGAGAAGGCTGATAGAACATGTCGATTTGACTTTACACATTATTTGTCCATTTAAATATTCGAACTGCCATCTATGTGTTGTTTGATATGCATTTAGTTCTCTAAAACTTTAATGCCTCTCATTCCACAGGGATACTGCTGGACAAGAAAGATTTAGGAGTCTTATTCCGAGTTATATAAGAGATTCCTCTGTCGCAGTAGTAGTCTATGATGTATCTAGTTAGTGCTCTCTCTCTCTGTTATTGTTGGTTGTGTGATGCATCCTGGTTATTTGTGGCTGATGCGATAATAGGTTTGGTGTGAAAAACGTTATTATGCAGATAGACAATCATTCTTGAATACTACCAAGTGGATTGAGGAGGTACGAACAGAACGGGGCAGTGATGTGATAATTGTTCTTGTTGGGAACAAAACTGATCTTGTTGATAAAAGGTGAGGAACAGATTTTTAATAGGAACAAATTTGACATTGTCGAAAAAAAAGTGTGGAATGAGCTGTTCCTATTGTTTATTATACATATCAGGATCAGTATATACTTCTTTGAGGAGTTTGGAGATTGCATTAGGGGCACCATTTCTGTTTATACTTCGAATGCAATGATGAGATGGGATTTGAGCTGAAGTTGTTATTAACCTTTGATTGCATGTACTGAAGACCTAAGCTGACAATTCTTCAAATCCTATGAAATTGACTGAAAATCTTGAGCTTAGTTGCTAATTCATATTTGTAACTGATTTATAGGCTTTGCCAGTGTCTATTAAAACCCTTGTCAATTTTTCAGAAGTTCTCTAAATTCTGTTTGCTTGGTGACAAAATCAGGCAAGTTTCAATCGAAGAAGGTGATGCCAAATCTCGCGAGTTTGGAGTCATGTTCATAGAAACTAGTGCCAAAGCTGGCTTCAATATCAAGGTAACGTTATTCTTTGATTTCTAAAACGTAAAATGACAAAGGATTAAGAATCCAAAGTCCACTTTGTGCCTTTTTGTTCCCAAGGCATGAAATTACGCATCTTCGCTAAATTTGCATTTGTTTCTCTTCTTTGATTGGTCTGTAGATGTAAGTTTGATTTACATTTTTATTGAAACAAATTTTGCAGCCTCTCTTCCGTAAGATTGCTGCAGCGCTGCCAGGGATGGAAACTCTGTCTTCTACAAGGCAGGAGGACATGGTTGACGTAAATTTGAAGCCTGCAGTGAATTCATCCCATACGGAACAGCAAGGAGGAGGTTGTGCGTGCTAGAGGATATGTAAGTTCAATACATAAGAAAAATGCTGCAGAAATGAAATAGTAAACGCAATCATTCACCGGTGAGTTAGTTCAACAAATTGACATCCGAAATTTTCTAACGATAAGATGTTTGTAATATTGTATGCCATTAGATTCTTTTTGCGTTCCCTACGAACAAAATCATCATTTTGTCCTCCCAAATGCTGAGATTTTCATTTTGGATTTGTGATGGCCTTCTACAACTTGACAACTATATCTAATTGCAGAGTACTTGAAACTGTTTCATTGTTTATAATTATATCAATATTCAGTGTTGTTCTTTCTTAGAAAATTCTCTTTGGCTTGGCTGTGCACGTTACTAATGGTCAGCTCTTGTGGCCACAATCCATAGAACCACCCCCAACTATATAGTCCATATCAAATTTATGTACATTTTCCATACGAACCAATTCTACAGTAATAGTAGTACTAAATGGTTGAAGTGGAATAATGATTATATCCAGAGTCTTGTAGAATTGAAGAATTGATGGGGTCTTATTCCATCAACAAGTTTAAGTTGCAATATTCAGCAAATTATTAGAGTACATTATCGTTGTTTATATTCATATAGAACTAGGATTAGCTCAGCTGATAGTCGGTAACTGATTTGCTATGAACGATCTACTGAATGATCATGAATTTGGTTAGGTGTAGCTTGGAAATGAAGTATTGATTGGGAGCAAATCAATTAGGGTGGTTGAACAGGTAAAGTTGATGGGCATAGATGGTGTGCCGTCACAGAATCAAATTCACATGCTCCCAAGTGAGTAGCTAAGCTTATGGACAAAAAAAAAAAAAAAAAAAAAAAAAAAAAAAAAAAAAAAAAAAAAAAAAAAAAAAAAAAAAAAAAACCAACAATGTTGGTAGAAGGCTTCGACCATATTCATACGATCGAGACCTGAAATTTTATCATTTGTAACTCTAGGTAGGTGGAATTAATTGGAGTGTGAGCTGCGTTTGCTTGAAAATGACATTTTTAATAATCGAATTTGAATTCCAATTCAGAAAACCACCATCCCATCTCGACCTTCTTACAAGAATAATCCTTTACTTTTTCAAACAGGTGTCATTAAGACAACAAATTATCCACTCATAATTAACACAAAATTAAGCCAAACCTTTCATATTATAAAAAGATTAATCGCTTCCACTAGGGTATTTGTGGAGCATATGCTCATGACTGTTAAAAAGGGCGGACAACACAGAGGCCACCAACGCCGATGAAACTTAGGCGAGGTTTTCCTCTGCACAAGAAATGGCATCAGCACTCAGCACCTATAAATTACTAGTGTCGCCATCTTCCTTCCTTTCATTTTCTTTGTTTTTTATTCCCTTCTCTCGTCTTGTTCAACCTTCTCTTTCTCCGCTCCACTTCCTTTATCTCTCTTCATAAATTCCCAATTCTTCTTCCTCATGTTCTTGAACCCATCGACGATCAACTCTGTCTCGCTGTTGGTCAATCCCAATACCCACGTTTCGATCTCGCCAAACCCTCTGCAATGCACGGAAAGCACCCATCTTGGTTCACCCACTTGATCAAGTCCGACACCTCTGATTCAATCTTCCTCGGAGGGTTGTTTCTCGACGATAATCTCCCTCCCTCTTTCATTTCGCTAATCGCTTCTAAAAGCTCTTCTGGGTCGGCTACATTTTCTTCTTCTCACAGTCCGCACAAGACTCTCAACCTCAAAATTTTGGGTCGCCGAGAAAGGGGGATTTCCGATGGAAGTGGGTGCCGATTTTTATCTGTGAGCCTGTCTGCAAATGGGAGTGGCGAGAATGGAGAATACACTCAGCATGCGGAAGGTTTTTTGGGACAAGATGGGAATAAAGGTTCGGTGCAGCATGAGGAGGAAGAAGAAGAGAGAGATCAGAAATCTGTTTTGCGAGGATCTGGTGCTATGAATATGACCAAGCATCTATGGGCCGGAGCTGTTGCTGCTATGGTTTCCAGGTTTCCTTCCAATCTCCCATTCTTCATTAATTTTCAACATTCAAATTCAATGATTTAATAGGATGTATCATTATTTTCCAGAATTGAATTAATGCTGGAAACCCAAAAACCTTGATTAGATCGTCTTTCTATTCATCTTCATATGGAAAAGGGCTTCATTCATGGCATGTCAAATGCATGACACTCTGCCCTGCATAAAAAATGTTGTCTGGTTTTAACATCATTAGATTTGGTCACCCGACATGTTTATTCATGATGAATTTGATCTATGATAGATCTTTCGTTGCCCCTCTTGAGAGATTGAAGCTGGAGTACATAGTTCGTGGTGAGCAGAAAAAACTTATTGACCTGATCAAAACCATAGCAGCTTCTCAAGGTCTGAAAGGTTTTTGGAAAGGAAATTTTGTCAACATTCTTCGCACTGCTCCTTTTAAGGCTATCAATTTCTATGCTTATGATACATACAGAAATCAGTTGTTGAGGTGGTCTAGAAATGAAGAAACTACTAATTTTGAGCGGTTTCTCGCCGGTGCTGCCGCCGGAATTACTGCAACTATACTTTGCATTCCTATGGACACCGTAAGTCTCAATTAGCAATTTCTTTTATAGATGAAGAAGCATTTTGACCTTTAGTTCTCCAATCTGCTGATTGTTATATTTCATAGATCGAAGTTTCTGCATCTTCATACAGAGTTTTGTGAGTTGTGCTCTTGTTTGCATGCCTATCGTTTTGATACTTTCATGTTGTTCTGGTATCAAATTTTTAGCTATCTATACTGATATTGACACCAAGGGACAGTTATGTGTATTTAAACTACACAATTCAGATTGTTAGCCAATTTGGGAGGGCTATCTATTCTCACCCTTTCACTACATCACTCACATGAATCGCAAGACACCCGAAAGCTGAAAGAAAAATCTTACGTTCTATTTACGGTGCATACAATCACCCTGCCGCCTGTGGTGGTTGTATTTCCTTTTTATCGTATACTCGTATACTTTAATCATTGGTGACCTAAGTTCTTTGTGTCCTTTGTTCTTGCAGATCCGGACTAAGATGGTGGCACCAGGTGGGGAAGCCTTGGGTGGTGTTATTGGAGCCTTTCGTCATATGATCCAAACTGAAGGCTTCTTTTCTCTTTACAAGGGCATAGTACCCTCAATTATAAGCATGGCACCATCAGGTGCTGTGTTTTATGGTGTTTATGATATATTAAAATCAGCTTATCTTCATTCACCAGAAGGAAGGAAAAGAATCCAAAATATGAAAGTAGGTGATCAGAAGTTGAATGCTTTTGAACAATTGGAATTAGGTACGATTAGAACGTTACTGTACGGTGCCATAGCAGGGGCATGTGCTGAAGCTGCTACATATCCATTTGAAGTTGTGAGGAGGCAGCTCCAAATGCAAGTTAGGGAAACAAAGCTGAGTGCTGTTGCAACTTGTGTCAAGATTGTTAATCAAGGGGGTGTCCCTGCTCTTTATGCAGGCTTAATTCCTAGCTTATTACAGGTGCACCACTGATCTCTCACTAACTACTACTTTTGTTCATCAAGATATGTTTGTGCGTAGATCCATTGATAGCTTGGTAGATTATACATGAATATGGTGTCTCGTGAATATTAGGTTCAAAGTATTTAACACAAACTTGTGAAATGAGTATTTGCATCTAACTTTCGATTGCATGATGGCCGATTCAACCATGTCGAGTCTGTTGACTATTACAAAATGTACATTAGATTCATGAAGAGGATATAAGATTCCGACCCCTCCCTTCATTTGCACTAGTTTAAGATATTGGTATCTGAGGGCATCCAGTTTGTCCATTTAGGACCTTCGTTATATCAATTGATGAACGAGCTCAAACGGGTTTATTTGATTCAGCGTAATTAAGGCTAATCTTTGATAATTACAGGACTCCTAGCTTCTATGTTTGCTTCTATGGTATTCTTGTATCTATGGAAATGCAAATAAAGCCTGCAACAACCAACCTTCCATAAGTATGATGGCTTTCGGCTTTTTCTTTGAGACAAAACTTTTAACCTTTATCTTTTCGGTTAAAGAATAAAAGTTTCCTTAGGATAGAATTTGGCTTGCAAACATTCCCCTATATCGTCAACCACTGTGATTTGGTCTAGTGATCAATAAAATAAAAGCTAATGCAAAGCTAACATCACAGGATTTATAATATCTGCAAGTTTTCTTAGCAACCAAATGTAGTAAGAACAACCAAGTGTCGCAACACAAACTGGCGTGAAAACTCACAGATGCTAAAAGAAAAATAAGTTCCCTATCACATTCCTCCAGCATGTCGAGTTGTTGATTTGCATAATCATCTGTTTATGGCTTTAAGCTTTCCTCATAATCTAATGTTTTTCCTTAATTTAGGTCTTACCATCAGCAGCAATAAGCTATCTTGTGTACGAGTTCATGAAGATCGTCCTGAAAGTAGAATCGTCGTGAAGATTAGAGCATGCATCGCTACCGTTGACTTCTTTAGCTTTCAGGCCAAGGTTCTGGAAGAGGAGCTATGATCCTTTCAGTGCCCTTGTTGACATTGTTTCTGGGCAACGTTTCTATGGCTATCAAAATAGCATTTTAATTTTGTCTTTCTTTCCAGTCTGGGGTGACAGTGAGGCACAGATCCCATTTTTCAACACAGTGCCCAGAGCTCCAAGTTCGATTGGATCGATATAAAATGATAAGGATACATAACTTATTATATCTGATCGTATGATCTTAGATGAAAGTGGTCACCAACAGCATGATATTGGTAGTTTTCTTTCTTTTTTTTTAGAATAATTTTTATATTTTCGTCTTATGTTTAACAATGTTTCTCTAAATAAATAAGTATTAACTTTAATTAATTTCCAATGGAAAGCTTAAGCCATGTAATATTTAATATTTATAAGTGGAGGTTCATTATTCATTTTATTAACCCGCTGCCCGCTGCCCGCTGCCCGCTATATTTTAAATATAAATATTACAACTTCTTTATTTGTTTTTTAATTTCGTACTTCTTAGGAATAAGTGCATTGAATCTTTTTTTTTTCTTTTTTTTTTTAAAATGTTTTGGGCACGTCAGCGAGGTTGAGAACAGGATTTAAATAAGAAAAAAAAAGTCGTGTATTTTCTTATTAATAATTTCCCTTATACTTTATTGATTAATTAATTATCTTCTTTTATAAATTATGTTTTTTTTTTAAATAGTTATTAATTGTAAAGAAAGTTTCAAATATATTTTTTATTAATTAAAAAAAAAATGAATATCTAACCCGTCTGTGTTGGTCCAAAGTTTCGGTCATTCATTCATGGATCCACGAACCACCCAAAACGGCGTCATTTTGAAGGCAGTTCCTACTTCCTTTTGGCGCTGAGTCCAACATTTAAGTCAAACGCCGCTTGGCTACGATCCAATTAAATTCATCTCCTCCTCGCATAATCTCCACCGCCATGAATCCTCCCACCTTCCCTATGGAATTTTCCGGCGATCCACTTTCGACGAATCTCACCGGAAGTGATGACCCGCGGATTCCGTTGCAGAACCTCTCGACGATCTCTTCCAGAATGGATGCCGTCCAAATCTTCCTATCCGAGAATATCGACAGAGAAATTCGCATCAGCAATCAACAGATGGATGCGGTTTCGTCTGAAATCGCCTCCGTAATCCAGCAGATCGTCGTCAACGGCGCCGCTCTTCTAGCCTGCGCGCAAGTGAAAACCTCGAATACGCCGGATTTGAAAGCCTCGACGAGTCGAACTCATTCGATTCCGGTTACAGAGAAATCAATGGTGGAGCTGAAGGTCGAGGGTGTAGATGAGATTACGAGAATCGAATCCGAGGATTTTGAAATGAATTGTGAATTAGTGGAGCTGGACGCGATGGAACTGCTAGCGGAGCACATCCATTTCTGTGAAATCTGCGGGAAAGGGTTCAAGCGGGATGCGAATTTGCGGATGCACATGCGGGCCCATGGGAATCAATTCAAGACCCCTGAGGCGTTGGCCAAGCCGTTAGATGGTGTTGTCGTGGACCACAAGGCGAAGCGCACGCGGTTTTCGTGCCCTTACGATGGCTGTGTAAGGAACAAAACGCACAACAAGTTTAGGCCGTTGAAATCGTTGATTTGCGTCAAGAATCACTTCAAGCGGAGCCACTGCCCCAAGATGTTCTCCTGCAATCGGTGCAACAAGAAGAATTTCTCTGTAATGGCGGACTTGAAGAGCCACTTGAAGCACTGCGGGGAGTCGAAGTGGCGGTGTTCGTGTGGGACGACCTTTTCCCGTAAGGATAAGTTGTTCGGTCATATGACGCTGTTCGAAGGCCACATGCCGGCGGTGGCGGACGACGACGATGGGAAAGGGAAAGCCACGGCGGCGGAGGCGGCGGCGACGCCGGAGATGGATGAAGATGGGGACAGTAATCGGATTTTGAAGGACGTTAATTTCCCAGACGCCTGGAATAGTCCGGATGATGGATCTTTCGAATCGTTTCTTGATGGGTTTGGTTCGATTGAGAATCACTGTTTGCAGGAGGTGCTGGGATTCCCTCATAGTTTCGATTCGGAATCGGAATGGAAATTTTGTTCTGATTAGAGATCTGTTCATACGAAATTCTTTGTTCAGATTTGGAACTCTCATCAGTCTGCATTTGATTCATTTGCTTTTAGTTCTTGACTCTGATTATTAGATTTGTCTACATTGAAACTTGAATTTTGAAATTATGTGTCAACCTAGAACTCCTTAAATCAAGAGATAATAGATTGGAAATCAATGGAAAAGGCACAAATGATTTCATTAATGTTAATTTAGATATAGTTTTTTTCAAGTATAAAAGTTTGAATGAATAAATAAAAATGAAAAACATTGTTTAATTATTGCAAAATTTTATTCACTTTCTGCATTTTAATTGATTAAAAACATTCTAATTTCAAATATAAGTATAACTATGAAATTTAAAATTTTTATATATGAATGAATATTTGAACTTCTCCGTTAATATGTCAAAAAAGGTTGTGACTCTTCAAATATTGAAGAGTCAAGTTCCTCATTTAAAATGAGTGTGTTCAAGTTTAAGTTGAATATTGATTATATATAATGTAAAATATTAAAATAATTTAATGCGAAAACACAAATATATAAGCAGACTATTCAGTGCGTAAATGAATTTGGAAAAGGGGAAAATAGAAGGAAACGCAATTGGCTTAATCAAGCACTTTGGGTTTGTCCCACATCGACAGATCTGAAAAGAAGAGAAGTACCACCAGCTATAAAACAAAATCAATGGCCAACGTTTGAACATACTTACCTGGACGGGGCTTTTGGGTGATCATCAAGGCCCATAGCCTAGGTTGGTGACCTCCATTGCACTTTGGAGGGGTGCCCGCCTAAGGTCTGTCCAACGTGGCAGAGCCTACGTCATAATTTGTGGTAGTGGGGGCCTGCGTTCGCGCGGCCCCTACCTGTATTAGTTTAACAATTAAGTATCTTCTGTTTTTATAAGAAATTATGTCAAATTCCATAGCCTTTTTTTGCTTTATCTAATTTGATAATTAAAATATTGAATATTCATACAGAATAATGGCTTCTTCCTTGGTCCACCCGTGGCCTTGCATGCTCTTCTCATAGCCAACCCTACATTTTCCACGCAACGGTCTCTTACTCTCTTCCAACAATCCTGAACGTGCATGGGTCCTCAACAAACCATGGCATGAACATGAACATGCATACAATCCTCAACAAACCATGGCATGAACGCTTTGATCGTTCATGTGGTTGGTTCTTTGGTCACACAGAAAGCACATATATCTTTTGTTCAATGAAATTACTGTTAAGACGTGGTTGTTGATTGGACTGTCCTTATGGTTGGGTACGTCCAGAATAGTGAGAGCGAGAAGTGTTTGAAATGTGTCTGAGATGCATAGTAACGGAGGGACCCCAAATTATAGAACATTAGGAAACGGGTTTCAAGCTTGTGTTGATCTGAATGCTTTAGTAGAGGGAAGAAGCTTACACGGCTTGGACTGGAATTATTGGTCGGTCTGTTCACTACTATGCGATTAAAAATTCAATAATCGAAAGCGTATCAATAGCAACTCATCTTGCTGCCTAAGATATAGGGGAAAGAACCCATCAGTACATTAAGGAAAATGGCTTTGAGAATTAGTTGGGCACCTGAGAAGGTAAATCAGTCCAGCTCCTCTTGGTATCAACTATAACCTTAACCATCGACCGACAGACATTGCCTGAACAACAGCATCTTATGATGTCTCTTCTGACAGTGCATTCAAAATGTATACATACACCTGTACATTGTGGAAATGCCAAACCAATTTCAGCAGCAAAAAACTTCCTGGAAGCTCCTTGGTTATCATCAATTCAACGCTGAGAGTAATTGTCTATCTTGCAGTAGCAACGTTTTGTAGAAGAGAGTCTAAGTCCTTCAATCTGCATTTATAGTGTCAAAAGTAAAACTTAAAATAATGCTAAGGGATTAAGTGGAGAGAAAAAAATATAATAGAGAAACTAATGTAGCTTACATACCTTATATCACTCAAGTCTGGATAGGTTGCTATCGCTTCTTTAAAATCCTAATTTCAACAAATCAAATAGCGTAACCATCAGGGATATGCTTGGCTAAGTTGAGGGAAAACATATTGCCTTTTATCTATTAGTGAGTCCGGGAACATAACACATAAACTACGGAGCACATTCTGACCTGGTCAGCTGTGGAAGCTGTGTAGGTTATGACACATTGCATTCCTGCTTTTGTTGCGGCCTAAAAATGCAAATGAAGTTTTGACGTGAGTTATATATATATATATATATAAATTATGGTTTTAATCCACCAAGTTCTCAATTTATAAAATAATAGCTAAAGAACAAATGATATACCTGCAAGCCAATGACACTGTCCTCAACCACCAGGCAATCCTTTTCTGACACTCCTAGCTTCTGCAAGGCATATGTCACAATTAAAATAACAATGCATGCCCTCTTCATATCAAGGAGGAAGGTTTCAAAGTCAAGAACTAAGTATAAGTTACTTTTGAAGCTACTATGTAAATGGATGGATCAGGCTTCTTTTCCTTCACATCGTCACCTATAAAAAACAAAGGAAACCTAAAAATCAATTAAGCAGCAGGACCAACTGAACTGAAACAAATGGATGTTATCATTGATATATTTAAGGAAAACCTAACAGTTATTACAAAGGAAACCGTTTGAAGTTCACCCACTACGTGGGTAGACATTCAATTATCCTACAGAAAAGGCTCTGAGGTATTCCTTCAAGCTTATCACTCTCACCGTGCATTCAATTTCTTCCTTATAGTTGAATAGGCATACATCTAATGTGGACAGGAATAATTTACAATCGTCATACATACCACAAGAAAGTATTACATACGATAAACAGTAATCTTACCAGCAAGGAAGCAATCAAGATTTTGAAACCGATCCTAAAGTCAGAGAAGCACATTAAATCATTACCTTGATAAGTAGAAAATTCGATTCTAAATTTATTGAAACCAAGTCAAAAGGCTTACAATTCCGATAAGGTTTTCAAGGCAAAGAATAACTGAACTTTTGGTAGCTGCAGAGCATACGGCAAGTTTCCTGCCCTACAAAACAATATGATATTTACCTTAATATCGTACGAAACTTGAAGAAAATGAACAGAGAAATGCACCCAACACACTGGCATGTGCTTTAGAAGAGGAACACGGATCAAACGACCGCAGATGACATCCGGTAAAAAAACAGAAGTTGGTAATGTAAGATGATACCCCTCCAAATGGGTTATAAGATAATTCAAAATTTGAAACCTTATCCAAATAAAAAGCATCAAGATTGCCAACTTATATTACTTACAGCAGATTTTGCCTCATCCATCAGACTTAGAACTCCAGGCCTGGGCTTCACCTGATAGAGTGGAAGCAATCTGTGTTACAAGCCACTCAAGCAACACAATTTATAAAAGTTGCACAAACGAGATCAATGAAGCCAAACTATTTCCTTACAGTTCCAGACTTGATTATTTCTTTGTACCTTTCTGTTTTCCAATCCTACAAGATCAAAGAAAGGGCTTTAATAGAATCTCGGTAAGTCAGAGCACAAAGTGTATCACGAACTTGCTTATTAGCACAAAATATATGGATCACAACTTTAGAATCAATAGATCAGTTAAAACAAATAAGCCTATGCAAAAACTAAACCTTTCCTATGAATGCAGAAGGACTCCTCAACAGTACATATGTACGATACTAATGCAACATAGAGAGAATCAACACAAGACATCCAATTTATACATTATAAACTGACACAAAATATGAAAGCGCTCATAGCCCAAAGGAAGATAACATGAGCATCACATTGCTATAACAATATCGATGCAAGTAAGGAAATTAAATGGATATGCCTGAAGAACGTCAATCAACTTTGCTCGCTCCTCATCATCTTCCGGAGCCTTCTCGAGAATCGTTGAAGATGGCCATCCAAACTCCTTGAAGTACCTAACAGACGCGAAAACCGCCTTGAACACACGCATTACCATATTACTAAGAATGACAGTAAAATTGATTAAAAGAGAACAATACCATCGCATTTTCGGTTTACCGCCTCCAATGCGGTTCTGGAGCTCGTCATAGAACTCGATGCTCCAATTGAGAGGCTGCGACGCCGAATTAGGGCAACGGATGTCGAAATGAGCAAACGCATCGTTATATGCTTGTCGGTGCAAGTGCTCGGATTCAAGGATCACGCCGTCGCAGTCGAATATTAGAGCTTGTAAAGAAGCTGAGACTGAGAGGGAGAAAGGTTTGTGAGTAGTGGATTTTCTGGAGGTACGGAAGCGGATGGCTGTGGGAGGAAGAGATCGATGGAGAGAAGGAGAAACTAGATCGGAAGAAGAGAGTATGAGATTGGGACGAACGAGCATCGTAGAAATGCTCGCCATGGCTCTGAGATGGAGAACGAGAGCAGCTTCGAGTTTCTGTGGCGCGGAATGCTCCCGGCAACTTAACGGATTTTGCAACCGTTATATACTACAATTATGACCCTCTCTCAATGTCTCTTATACATTATCACCACAGACAGATTATTTATGAGTGATCAATCGTTACTCTCACAAATATCCATACACTTGTTTAATTATAATCATTAAATTATTATTATTTTAACATTTTTAGACATGTGGGTCTAATTTTAGTAGGTGACTTAGGTTTGTGTCTCAAGTATTACATTTGAGTGACACATTCCTAAGTCCAATCCTAAGTCCAAATAAGCTAATAAAATGAATGTTTAGTTGATATAGAAACACGGATATTAATTCACCATATTAAAAAAATTAAAAAATATATAATTTTTTTTATTTAAAAATTATGTTTGAAAATATAATAAAGGTATAATTTTGGTGAGGATTGAAGAAAAAATGTTGTGGGTAAATTCAAGGCCTTTGGAGCCCAATCAGATGGGATGGCAGCAGAAAGAAGAGAAGAGAGGCAAAAAAAGATCTAAACTCACATATCAAAAAGAGTTTGAAAATGCAACATCTGGTTTCATCTGTGGCTGAGGCTTGCTCTGTCAGTGCTTTACGTAAATCCCAAGAAGATAAGAAAAGGCAAAGCAATGCCCCATACTCGAAAATAAATTTACCCAAAAGAAAAAATGGAAGAAACAAAGGAGTTTGAGTTTCATATCATCAAGTTTTGAAGTTCTACCTCAAAAGAAAGAACAAGAAATGAAAAAAATGGAATGGAACCAAGTAAGAACTAGAAGAACTTAGGGGGGGTTAAGGGTAGAAGGTTTATGTACAATAAATGCATAAACCAAACGACCTGCTTTCACTCTGAACAAAGAATTCCATCCTTATAATGAAAAAAAGAAACAAATTCAATGTCATTTACAAAAACCAGAAGAATGGGAGGCCAACCCTGTGTTTTGGACATGCAAATATGGCTCAAGGATTGAAGAAGTGGTTCCCACAGCGGCATTTCCAACCCAATGGCTTGTAAAATGAGTATCTGTTCCCTTGTGTGGATGAGTCAAAAAATCCCAATGGCAAGGCCGAGGGCGAATGCGAATCCATCCGAGGCATACTAGGAACTTGCACCGCCATGCATGGATGACACTCGTTGCACTTGTTGTGGCAGCTTGGTGGGGTGGATCCAAGCCTGGTTTTGTCTTCGAAAAATATACCCTGATCAAATCAGCAAGCAACCAAAACAACGAAGCTTAGAAATATAAAGTCACGAGCAATATGAGAAAATTCATGGAGGAGAGAAAGAAGGCACACCCTGGAAGGGGAAGAGGCGGAGAGAAAAAGAAGAAGATGAAGAAGCACAATAAGTAATGAGGTGGCCCAAACAGTAGGCAAATTCATGGTAGTCATCAAGTCATTGATGCCCAAAACTCATGGATCCATTGCAGCAAAGGAGTAAAAATCACATGCAATAAAGACCCAGTTGCCAGATTTTTCTGTTACTTTGATCCACTTCCACCCAACACACAACACCACTCCACAAGTAACTAAGAGAGAGAGAGAGAGATGAACATTTAATAGAGGCAAGTGCAAAGGAGAGAGAGATAGCATAAATTTGGGTAGGAAAGGGTGGGTGAGCCATAAGTTATCCGACAAGAACAAGAGATGAGAGAAAGCAGAGAAGTTCTGAGTAAGAGGACAGAGTGTAGCAGACAGTGAAAGGAACAATACAGTAGTATCCACATCACATCCAAAGGACGCCCTATTCTTCCACTATACAACTTTAGGCTGTCCATCCCTAGCCTGGCTGCTGCAAAGGGACCGCATTTACTCCCCTACTCTCCACTTTGCATTTGTTTCACTCTTCTTCAATCTTCACTGCCCATTGATTTTACATTTCAACGCTGCGCTGATGGCCATGCAGCGACTACCTCATCTCATCTTGCAACTAAGCAAGCAATAATAGCTGATGGATTGGACCATTGAGATTTCACATTTGACTGTGGACCAAATTTATTTGTTATTCTTCTTCATAAAACCCTTCTCCCCATCTACGAATGTACCAATGTTTGAGAATATCGAGCACAGATTTGAATCACTAAACTCCAAACTAGCATTTACTCAATTGCTCTTCCTTAAATGCCTCATTGCACCAAAGTTGCTCATAAAGGAGGTAGTTATCTCTCGGCTATAACTTCATGAGGCATTTGAAAATAAGTATGTCTCGGCTAAAAGAATCAAATTTAGGCTAAACCAATCTAAAAAATCCAAGAAAAGGAAAAAGAAAACCTAGTACTACAACCCACTAACATCCAACTGGGCAAAATATTATCAAATACTATAGATCTGTAGCCACCTAATTGATCCAAAATGAATCAAAAAGTGTCATGTTAAAACATCCTAGCCACCCTAAATATAATATAATGATGTATAATAATAATAAAAAAATACATCGTGTTTGCTTGTTAAAGGCAAAAAGAAATCCACCACTAATAGATATTGTTCGTTTTTAACCCTTACGTATCGTCGTCAACCTCACGGTTTTAAAACGCATCTACTAGGGAGATTGGAATCTAACCGCCGATGTGGGATCTAACAATATACCCTCTTGAGAGCACAACGTTCTCGCTGACACATTACCCAGTGTTTGATTTCGATACCATTTCTCAATTTGTGCTCAATTTGTGCGTGTAATCCTTGCGCAAGGATCATGCTAATCTTCTCTGCAGCGTATCAATCTGATCGGATGTCCCCAACCACATTCCTCAACTGTCTCACCAGATGTGCTGATTTATTCCTCAACTGTCTCACCAGATGTGCTGATTTATTTTTACAGGGCAATTAGTCAACTAAATTATCAACCATGCATCAGACCATTCCAAAACATTACCAAACTCCAAGAAACAGAGTCTGAGACGCAGTGAGCAAACTCAACTCCAGAACCCCTCGTCTGATTCTGAAGGCCAAAGAAGAAGAAAACACAAGAGGGGTACTTTTAGCTTTTCAACTTCGTAAGACTCTTTCACGAAGTGGGAAAGAAATCGAGGGAAGAGAACCCATGCCGAAATGAATTTTGGCTCTTTACTCTGAAACCCTTCCTCTCACGGAGAATGTATAATTTCTTTAAAAATCATGAAGCAAACTTGATTTGGATATCGGAATCTCGAACGCTGTTCATAGTGGCACGAACAGGTGCTTAAAACGAGGTTTGTCCCTTTCTCGAGTTTGTAACTAATAATGTACTGAAAAATCTAAGATTAATAATTGCATTCCTTCCATTTTTTCTATTTTTTTAGAGGTATAATCTTGATTTTCCCGATGGTAATAGATGTGGGGATCTAGCATCCGCCTATGAGTAGCAAAACTAGAATCAACGTGGTGTTTGTCCAAACACCATCAATAAGTCAAGTGAGTGATGAAGGTATATAGCCATTGAGTTTTTGAGTTGGCCTGACAAAGAAATAAATTGTAAGCGACGGAGGTTTAGATACTTGGGCCAAGTTGGGGAGGTCAAGATATGATAAGCAAACAACGATTGGTAAGTTGAGCTAAGCAGCTAACAAGGGACCAGAGTGTGTCTCCATGTACAGGGCTCATAGATTTCATGAACTAGACATGAGTAAGCAAAGACATATTTGTATAATCTGACAAAATCAACTCAGGCCAAGCCAAAAGTAGCAGAAGACATTATCTGATAAATTCATTGATCTAGAATTATGGTTATAAACAAATTGAGTTTTGCCCATACAATGCTAAGGATAACTCAACAAAAGGTCGATGGATTAGAACTCGTAAGGTTCTAAAGTTGAAGAGGATGTTCATAATAAAAATATTATGTCCATCATTGAGGCATAAAATCGAGTAAGTCAGTCACTCCTACTCTCAAGAAGGCATAAGGTAATACTCATATGTCCCGATGAGATTTTACCTAATGACATATGTTGTGGGGGTATTTCCTTGTTTGTTCTTCTCCATGTTTTTTTAATACTATTTTTCCCTGCCAACAATTACATCCTCGCACATATTATTTTTGCAAAAGACCCAAAATAAATACCTTTTTGCTTTAGCTTTTTAAGATCTAATCAACATAAACATGATTACTTCTCTCTGATTTCTTTTGAGATTCAACAGTAAATCAGTCAGCACCCAGCAGAAAAATGGAAACTTTGACTGCATTTGCACTCTCTTAACCTACCTAAATCAACGAAAATACAAAAAGATGCATGGATAAAAGTGTTCCGGTGTCATAGAGTTGTTAAGTCCTCGGTAAGAATCACAATGTACTTTCCAGACTATTGATCAGACCATTATAAGACTGCATCCTTTTGAACAGAACAGAACCCACCAAAGTCCAAACCCTATGCTATTTCTGGCAATATTACGATTTTAATGATCTTGCTTTTCTTTTATCGTGTTTCACTGCTTTTAAACTCTCTAGGCTAAAGGGAAAGCAATAAACCGAACCTGACGAACTTGGCATGCCTCTGTCTGAGCACCAGCTTCCCTTACGCAGCCACCAAATTGTATGGTTCCGATAGGGCAAGTGCTGCATGTCATATCTTCCATGACATGAAAAAAGCAACTTGCAGGTTCCCAGCCTGCCGTCTCTCCATTTGAATTGTTGTCCTCGTTGCCCGTGTAAAACTTCCCTGGACTCGACTAAGCAGAAGCTCAGCTACAACTGAACCTGTTGACTTGTTCTTTTTCAGAAAAGATTAGAGAGGATAAAGTTGAATGAAGTACTGCACATAAAAGAAGACTGAACTCAAAAGACCGCAGTTATCTAGGAAGAATAGTGCTCGCTCAGGCTGCTACTCTGCAGTTACTGTAGCCCTGCAGATGACATGGACGAGAATGAGAAATTAAAATTATGGCGGTTGCGCAGAATGGATCCTACGGGTTCAATTTCATATGCAAACGGCTTTAGAAGATGGAAGTTGATGTGATCCACCATAACACAACGAAAAGTCAAAATTACAATGGCTAAGTAGAATGTTTATCCCATTAACACAGTCACAAAAATAAGTACATTTCCCTGATTACACTTCCCCCAACCGCTTCACACTTTCTCTCTGGGTGCAATTTTTCAGTTCCCATTAAATCTCACATTATGGAATCCCGATATCTTTTCTGGCAAAACTTATCATGTGATAAATGCCGGAGTTTAAACTGCCACCAAAATTACAGTCCTTAATCCTATTCTGTCATTATGCAAAAACTACCATCCCAATTTGTATCAAAAGAACCCTAAGCCATCTCCATTCTCTTCTTCAAAGAGCTCAAACATCTAGGACTTCCTTTTGATTTATGCGTTCATCGATCAGATCGTGCCTTCCAAAAGGACTTCGTTCTCCACTACGCTCTTGTCTGCTTTCCCATATCTTTCCCGACTTCCCTATTGCTAGAATCAACTCAAGTTGCTTTTGTTGTTGTTCCTACAATCCCAACCCAAACAATAAATCCAAATCAGATTAGATGTCAAGCACTCCTAGTATATGCAATAATCAAACAACAAACCTATTTGATAACCATTTGAATTTTTACTTTACTTTGTTGTCTACAATAATCAAACCAAGTTATGAAAACTAAAAAAACAATTTTCAAAATCTTGTTTTTGCTGTTGGAATTTGGATAAGAATTCTAATGATGGTAGAGAAATGACGAGAAAATGAGCTCAATTTTGAAAAGCCAAAAACCAAATAGTTATCCATTATTCTATCTTTTTATATTGTGTTCTTTTGAGTTTCTTTTTAATCAGAATTCCAACTTTCTTAAACACCAGTACCCTATGCTTCATCTGTATTCACTTTAAGTCACTCCTCGACAAAACTTAAAAACCTAGAATTAACGTTCAACAGAAGATTTAATGCACCTGCATAGCTAGTAAGACCTTCTGGATTTCCCCAAGCTCGTTCTCCAGAATATCTCCCCGAACTGCCAATGCTCGAGTGGCCTCAGAGGTTTTTTGAGCTAAAGCTGCAGTCTTCAGAAATTGATCAATACTTAGAGGCGGAAAATGGTATCTCATCTTAGCAAAATGTAAGTAATATAGTTATCAAGCCTGGTTTTAAAGGTTAAAAGAATGATTCTATCACACCTTAAAGTTCATTTTCACCTTCTCAAAGTGTTATTTCACATTGCTACTGAACCCCTACAGCACATAAATTTTCTTAACTACCATACATCCTTGTAATTCCATTACAATTAACTCACTCATAGTCTCAGCTTCATGTCTTTTGTGGGAAGTATGTTTGGTAGGTATGAAACTGCCGCCTAACTTACATTTCAGGATTCGGCTTCTTAACAATAACATTCTCTTTGGGTTTTGCTGGAGTTCAATGCCAAAAATTTCAGATCTGGGTTCACTTAGTTTCTTCTTCCATATTTACAGAATTCAAGAAATTGGAATTACAAATAACTACAACCAGAATTAGCATTCAGATATCATTTTCTTTGAGGCATCTTTTCTCATTATCCATCTTTAAATTCAACGTTATCTAACCTCTTTATAGAAATGATTCGCCTTTTTTTCTGTTTTGCAAAATTACAGTAATCATTCATTTATTTTAACAGATATCAAAGGTTTCAGAGCATTTTGATAGTCCATCCAGATACGACTTCTTTGTCAGCATCATGTTACCATCATTTACTTGTTAAATATCATCTTGAAATTTCGAAATAAAGAAACAGCCTCAAAATTTCTGAGAACTATAATTACCTCCTCGACGGGCTTCTTCAGAGCCTTTCGAGTATCTCTAAACCTATTCCCCAGCTTCTCCAGCTGCCTCGACAATACTCGAATAAGCGTTGCCGAATTCCTCAAATCCTCCTCCAGTTTGTTAGTTCTTTCCACCAAATCCACCTCCAATACACCCTTCGCCGTCTCTCGATATATCCGATTCCACTGCCGCCTACGAATCCAAGCACCAATTGCAACCCCCGCCACCAGAAACAAAATTGCGCCAACCAAAATCCTATCACCGAAGACCGCCCAAAACACACTCTTAGAGCTGGCTTTCACACAATTCAGAGCAAAACCAACAGAAGCGAGCAACGACGTAACGAGGCAAAACAACTCAGCAGCTGAAAGTAAAGAATCGATATAGAAATCATCACCGTCTCTCCGTCCAGCTCCTTCAGATATAGAAACTCGAGGATTGAACTGATGGGCATTAATGGAACCAAAATTAAAAGGGCTTCGAAGCTTGTGATCAAGAATTTGAAAATGCAGAGCGCTAGGGAATCGGCAAGGGGCGAATCGAAGAGACAAGCACGGATTCCGTGACAAGAAAGTGGAGAAGTAAAAGGTTGAAGAAGGGGGAGGTGAAGGAGACGACGAACTCAGTGAAAGGTATTGGACAGCAAGCGACATCGTTTTGGAATTTAGACCTTCAGAGCGTCTGATTCAATAAATTAGGGTTTTTTTCAGACATGGGAAACGGGACATAGGTCCCTCCTTCGGAGTAGAAAATGGAAGTGGAGATGGATGATTTCACTTCGCACGGGAAGGGGTAAGAGAGGAACCTCGAACTGGAAGGGGAAAAGGCGATTAATTCAATGATTTACGCGCGATCTATTACTATATAACTGTAACCGTTGTAACTGGATAACCACCGGCGTCCAAGTATTGGGCCTTCTTGATCCGCTACTTTGGGCCCTCTTGATCCGCTACTTTGGGCCCTGGCCTTCTTGATCCGCTAATTTGGGCCCTTGTAGCCTTATTTGATGAAATATCTCCTTAATACAGTTAGCAGGTT